TTTTTGATCACTGCTTCAATGTCATTACTCGTTATTGGTCTATTCATGTTATCCATTTCTTCCTTGGTAGTTTCCAGTTTTCCAGGAATGCATCCATTTCTTCCAGGTTGCTTAATTTATTTGCATATAGTTGTTGATAATAATTTCTGATAGTTGTTTCTATTTCCTTGGTGTTAGACATGACTGTCCCCTTTCATTCATAATTTTATTAATTTGGATCCTTTCTCTTTTTTTGGATAAGTCTGGCAAGTGGTTTATCGATCTTATTAATTCTTTCAAAGAAACTGCTTCCAGGTTCGTTGATGTGTTCTACTGTATTTCTGGTTTCTATTTCATTGATCTCTGCTCTAATCTTAATTATTTCCCTTCTAGTGCATGCATTGGGCTTAATTTATTGTTGATTCTCCATTCAAGGTGTAAACATAGTTTGTGTATTCTGGCTTTTTCTATTTTCTTGAGTGAGGCTTGAATGGTATGTATTTCCCCCTGAGGACCACCTTTGCTGTACCCCATTGGTTTTGGACTGATATATTTTTGTTCTCATTGGTTTCCATGAATTGTTTAAGTTCTTCTTTGATTTCCTGGTTGACCCAAACATTCTTTTTTTCTTTTTAAGATTTTATTTATTTGACAGAGAGAGAGAGAGAGAGAGATCACAAGTAGGCAGAGAAGTAGGCAGAGAAAGGAGGAAGTAGGCTCCCTGCTGAGCAGAGAGCCCGAGGTCGGGCTCGATCCCAGGACCCTGAGATCATGACCTGAGCGAAGACAGAGGCTTAACCCACTGAGCCACCCAGGTGCCCCGACCCAAACATTCTTGAGCAGGATAGTCTTTAGCTTCCAAGTGCTTGTATTTCTTCCAAACTTTTTCTTCTGATTGAGTTTCAGTTTCGAAGCATTGTGGTATGAGACTATACATGGAATAATCTCAATCTCTGGTATTGGTTGAACCTGATTTGTGACCCATTATGTGGTCTATTCTGGAGAAAGCTCCATGTGTGCTAAAGAATGAGCATTCTGTTGCTTTAGTGTGGAAAGTTCTGTATTTATCTATGACGTCCATCTGGTCCAGTGAGTCATTCAAAGCTCTTGTTTCTTTGCTGATTTTCTGCTAAGATGTGGAGTGTTGAGTCTCCTACTAGTGATTGTGTGGAGTGTTGAGTCTCCTACTAGTGATGTGTTATTATCAATATGTCTTTCTCTCTTTTTTTTTTTTTTCAGTATGTCTCTTTATTTTGGTTAACAGTTGGCTTATGTAGTTGGCTTCTCTAGGGGCATAGATATTTAAAATTGTTAGATCTTCTTGTTGGATAGATCTTTTAAGAATGATATAGTGTCCTTCTGTATTGCTAACTATATAGTCTTTAGCTTACTTTGTCTGATATGAGAATTGCTACCCCAGCTTTCTTTTGAGGTCCGTTGGCATGAAAGATGGTTCTCCATCCCTTCACTTTCAGTCTGAATGTATCTTTAGGTTCAAATGAGTCCCTTATAGACAGCACATGGATGGGTCCTGTCTTTTTATCCAACCTGTAACCCTATGCAATTTTATGGGAGCATTTAGGCTGTTTGTGTTGAGAGTGATTATTGAAAGATATGATTTTGTCATCATCATGTTGCCTGTGAGGTCCTTGTTTCTATAGATTGTCTGTGTAAATTTCTGTTCTATATCACTCTTGGGGTCTTTCTTTTATAGAACACCCCTTAATATTTCTTGCAGAGCCAGCTCAGTGGTCACATATTCTTCCAGTTTCTGCCCATCCTGGAAGCTCTTTATCTCTCCATCTATTCTCAATGACAGCCTTGCTGGAGAAGGTATTCTTGGTTGCATATTCTTATTTAGTACCCTGAATATGTCTTGCCAGCCCTTTCTGGCTTGCCAGGTCTGATGCTACTCTGATGTTCTTCCCTCTGTATGTAAGGAATCTCTTCCCCCAACTGCCCTTAAGATGGCTTCCTTGGTTCTAAGACTTGCTAGTTTTACTATTACATGCCAGGGTGCTGGTCTGTTCTCCTGGATTTTGGGAGGGGTCCTCTCTGCCTATAGGACAAAAATGTTGTTTCATTTCCCAGATTAGGGAAGTTCTCAGCTACGATTTGCTCAAATATATCTTCTAGTCTTCTCTTTCTCTCCACCCCTCCCCTCAGGGATCCCAAAAATTCTGACATTGGAACATTTCTGGCATCACTTATTTCTCTTTTCATGGATTTTAAGCCGTTTGTTCCAGGTCTCCTCCTGTTCTGTCTTTTCTATCCGTTTGTGTTCTAGATCACTAATTTGTTCTTCCGCCTCATTTATCCTAGCTGTTAGTATCTAGATTAGGGGTGCCTGGTTGGCTCAGTGGGTTAAGCCTCTGCCTTCGGCTCAGGTCATGGTCTCAGGATCCTGGGATCGAGCCTCACATCAGGCTCTCTGCTCAGCAGGGAGCCTGCTTCCCCCCCTCTCTCTGCCTGTCTCTCTGCCTCCTTGTGATCTCTCTGTCAAATAAATAAAATCTTTAAAAAAAAAAAAGGTAAAATCTTAAAAAAAAAAAAAAAAGAGTATCTAGATTAGGGGCACATGGGTGGCTCGGTAGGTTAAGCCTCTGCCTTCAGCTCAGGTCAGATCTCAGGGTCCTGGGATAGAGCCCCACATCGGGCTCTCTGCTCAGCAGGGAGCCTGTTTCCCCCTCTTCCTCTGCCTACCTTTCTGCCTACTTGTGATTTCTTTCTCTGTCAAGTAAATAAATAAAATCTTAAAAAAAAAAAAAAGAGTATCTAGCTTAGACTGGATCTCATTGATAGCATTTTTAAGTTCTGCCAGATCAGCTCTCATTTTTGCCCTTAGAGAATATATGTTGCCATTAATGGTTTTCTCCATCCTAGCTACTGTCTGCATAAATGTTACCTTGAAGTCTATTTCTGAAATCTTTTTTTATATCCATATCCATTAGTTCTGTAGCAGAGGTCACAGTATCTGAATCTTTCTGGTGCTGGGGTTCCTCCCTTAGTCATTCTGTTGAGGAATGGTTGAGGGAATGCACAGAGTCCGAATTATTGATCACAACTCAAGCAAGCTGCCCCTATTTTATAGAGACCTTAGGGTTGTCAGCCTCTTGTTCTCCCATCCTGTCTTCTGGGAAGGGACCTGCCTTGCTGTTACTCAGGCAATCCTTTTTGGGCAGAGTTGCCCTGCCCCTTGTTGGTGGGGGATAGACTGAGTGAAAACTGGTTTTTTGAGGCTTTTGTTCTCTGGTAGCTTTCCCTGGCATCTTTCTGCATTTCTTCCAACAGAGCAGAAACCTTTGTCTCAGAACAGAGACAGCGCAGTCTGTTCTTCAGTGAGCTTTCCAAGCTACAGTATCTCTATTTTTGTCTGTGCTGCTAAAACCACAGCATCCTGAATTGTGTGCACCCCACAGAAGCACTCTTAGTCCTCACTTCCAGGTCCAGCCATGTCTCTGCCCTTTGTCGTTCTAAAACTGTCAGCAACCCCCAGTTCGCATGTGCTTCCTGGCAGCTTCAGGTTTCAGCTTGGGGGGCTGCCCTCAAGTCCTTCCTCCACCTCTATGGTATTCGACTCTGTTCGGTCCCCAGCGCGAGAGCCTTTTGCGCTCCAGTGGTATAGGATCCCAGAGGCTCCCTCCCACTTCCGTTTATCTTCCAATATCTGCCCATAGAATCATGGCTCCCTGCTTCATACCTCGAAACTAAACACTGGAGATATCTGTTTGTAGAGATCCAGATATATCCTCCTATGTCTCAGGCAGATTTTGTAGGTATTCAGAGTGGTGTGGTAGATATCCAGCTTACTTCAGGGGACTGGCTAAAATAGGGTCCCCTATCCTCCACCATCTTTGCAACCCCCCAAAACACCTTATTTTTGACTGAATTTTATAAACCTTCGACGTTTGTTAATCCAACACTGTGAGGGGTCTTGCATTCTCACCTTATTAAAGATTCACTACAGAACAGAATTAGGATTTTTTTAAAAACAGCTTTTTGATATGAAAAACTGAGTTTGTGATCCCATAATCTGAATTTTTAATTAGTAGATAAATGAATCTCCAGATAATTCCAATATAAGTAGTCTAATATAAGTAGTAGTCTAATATAAGTAGTACTAGATAATAAACTGGGAAAGGTGAGAATAAACTCTGTGGTGTTAGGCTAAAACAGAATGTATTGTTGTGAACTCATGGTTTACACACCCACATATACACACACACATGCACACACACTTTCTAGCTTTGTTCCACTGAAACAGCCTAGACACAATGATACTCCAGTAGCAAGGACCATATCTAGTGTCCTGATCCTAAATTCTTTTTTTTTTAGGCTATATGCCCAATATGGAGATTGAACTCACAACCCCTAGATCAAGAGTCACATGCTCTATCAACAGAGCAAGTGAGGCACCCCCAGATCCTAAATCCTAAATACCATTTCCAATATAAGGAACCAGGGCTCCTGAAAAAAAAAACTAGGGCAGGGAAGTATAAAATGATCCTGGATTTCTTATATTTATAAAAGGGACATCAGAGAGGGCTTTCTCTTTGCTTTGCTTTCTGCCATGTGAGAATATAAGATGGCAGCCATCTACAAGGTAGGAACAAGGTCTTCACCAGACACTGGATCTGCCTGTATCTTGATTTTGGACTTCCCAACCTCTGGAGCTGATTTAGTACTTATTTATAAAAATATGGAGTGCTATCCATGATAAGTGTCACATGCCAATTAAAGCATATGCCTAATGTTTGTATATGCACAGAATAAAGTCTACAAGAATTTCAGTCTTTGAAAAGCAATTACCTGTGGTTATAGGAGACTTTTAGCTTTTACTTTATATATACATCTGTATTGCTTTCTTCCTTTTTAAGTAAAAAATACGTATTAATTCTGGATCAAAAAATAAAGGGAAAAAAAAACTTAGCTTACTAGAATATAGCAATGAGTTGACCTACAGAAAGTTATGAAGTTGTAAAATACTAATTCTTGGGATAAATAAAAACCCATGTTATTACCTGGATTTCTCATTGGAATGGTTAGCAAGGCAAGGTATGGCAACAGCTGAGTTTGGAGGCATAAAGCTGGTAAGCAGAAGTCAGAAAAAAGTGCTTTTGCTGTCAAGCAATTTTCCCGATACTGTATAGAAAAAAAAAGATGAAATGAAAAGTAAAAAAATATGGAGATGTATTCCCTAGACAAACTAAGTTTACTGTATCCCAAATTGTGTTTATATACCGAATACTTTTAAGAGTTTATGTAATTAGTTTTTATAACTGTCCTAGCCTTACCTAATAAAGCATTTTACCTATAAAACTATTTCCTATTTGACATAACAGCAATAAGACTTTTTTTTAAGAGACTTAAAGGTAGAAAGAAAAAAAATCTTAAAAACGAAAGGAATTTTGCTTATAAGCATACCTCACAAATTATGTGAGGGTTTGTTTCTCAGTTAAAAAAAATTATTTTCGGGCGCCTGGGTGGCTCAGTGGGTTAAGCCGCTGCCTTCGGCTCAGGTCATGATCTCAGGGTCCTGGGATCGAGCCCCGCATCGGGCTCTCTGCTCGGCAAGGAGCCTGCTTCCTCCTCTCTCTCTGCCTGCCTCTCTGCCTGCTTGTGATCTCTGTCTGTCAAATAAATAAATTAAAAAAAAAAAAAAAAAAAAAAATTTAAAAAAAATTATTTTCTTTAGGTAACATGGGTACAATGCTAGGCTGAGGAGGAGAGAAGCACAATCTGCTTTTAAGGACCTTACAGTTTTACAGAGACAATCTGTATGGAACTATAAGGAAAATTAATATTTGTGTTATAAAGAGCAAAGCAAATCAATAAGGGACATAAACTGGTTAAAAGTCATGAAATTCTCCAAGAAATCTGTTGGAAAAATGTCTTAGGTAACGAATTGCAGGCTCCTATTTAGCCATATGATTTACAAACTGGAAGACATCTTAGAGATGACGTAGTCCAAGGGCCACAAATCTGGATGCTGTAGGAGACAGGCAGGTATATAAATCAGTGCAGTGAGACAGCTGGGGAAAGTAGTACCCACTACTCCCATCTTCAAGGGACAGATGCTACTTGGCTTGATCAGATCGCTGCCATGTAAAAACATAGACCAGTGCTGCCTTACTTTGCATTCTTTTCAGGAGTCAGAGGAATTCTGAGCCAGAAATCTGTATATGAATTTTAATTATTATACTCATTTTTTAAAGATGAAAATTCATGAAAAAAAAATCTTTTTGTGTGCAGTATTCAAAGTGGGGGGGGCCACCCATTTTTGATTGCTAATGAATCCTCCACATTTAAAGCTGTGGAAACTAGGGGGCTCCTGGGTGGCTCAGTGGGTTAAAGCCTTTGCCTTTGGCTCAGGTCATGATCCCAGGGTCCTGGAATCAAGCCCCGCAATGGGCTCTCTGCTCAGCGGGGAACCTGCTTCCTCCTCTCTCTCTCTGCCTGTCTCTCTGCCTACTTGTGATCTTTGTCAAATAAACAAATAAAATCTTTAAAAAAAATTTAATTAAAAAAAAAAGCCGTGGAAACTAAGTGCACATTAGGTAAAACAATCCATCCAGATGGTTAGAGGCAAAGCAAAGATTTACCTTTTTTCCTTTTTTTTTTTTTTAAAGTAATCTCTACACCCAATGTGGGGCTTGAACTCACAACCCTGAGATTAAGAGTCACACGTTCTTCCAACTGAGCCAGCCAGGTGCCCCTATTTTTAATTAAAACTAAAAGATAATTATAACGATCCTATGAATTCAATAATAATCAACTAAGAAATAAAATATGTACTTTCAAATTTTTAGTGTTTTTTCCTTAAAAATAATGAGGCATTTAAGAAGAGCGTCCTTTTTATGTCTTACTATAATTCTAAGAAAATTGCAGGTGTTAGCAACTATTTCTTACTTATAATAAAACACTTTTTTAAAACATAAAAAATAATTGCTTTACTGAAATATAATTCACATATCATAAAGTTTACCTATAAAAAATTAAAATTCTTTTCTTACCTTTTTATTTATAAGAAACCACTGGGGTTTGTGCAAGGGTCGAAAACTTGATCCTCCTCCTTGGCAATGAGCAAATCCTCGGGCTTTGTTGGAATGTATCACACCTCTTGTAGCTATGGATATACTATATTGATTGAGTAAAGACCGTGTCTAAAAAGGAGACAAAATGTAAAATAAAGAAAATAAGAGATTTACAATGCAGTGCTACTACTGGTACTGCTGATGCCAAAAAAAAATACTAATCATATTTACTTAATGTATGTTCACTGTTTTTTTTTAGTATTTATTGATTTATTTTAGAGAGAGAGAGAACATGCACATGTGTGATTCAGGGAGGGGCAGAGGGAAAGAATCTTCAGCAGACTCTCTGCTGAGTGTGGGGAGGAGCCCCAAGTTCAGGGCTCGATCCCATGAACCATGAGATCACAACCTAAGCTGAAACCAAGAGTTTTATTACTGTTATTAAGAAGTTACATAAGGGGCCCCTAGGTAGCTCAGTCGGTTAAGCATCTGCCTTTGGCTCACATCATGATCCCAGGGTCCTGGGATCAAGTCCTGAGTTGGGTTTTCTGCTCAGCAGGGAGTCTGCTTCTCCCTCTGCCCCTCTCCCTAGCTTGTGCTCTCTCTCTCTCTCTCTCTCAAAAATAAATAAAATCTTAAAAAAAAAAAAAAAAAAGAAGTTACATAAGATGTCAAATAATAAGGGGTAAAAGTAAACTTTCTAAATTCTGAGGAAATATTCATAAACAAAAACAGTTAAGTCAAATGGTCTTACATTCCAGTCACTGCTGAGGATATCTGCAAAACTCAGAAAATCACTGGCTCTGACAAGATCATCTACTTCCACGAAGAAATCTATGTAGTTTTGGTGAAGATATAAATTAAACAGCTCTCCTGGCATGTGTGACATTTCTACTACTTCCTATAAAAAGAAGCATACACACATAATTTAGTAAATGCAGTGGTTAAACGTACATATGCATGAATGTAAATAATATATATCCTGTAAAAAGTACAAATATTATTAAAGACTTTACCTCAGGTTGAACAAGTAAGGTATCCCGTTCATACTCTGATAAATGCGAAGGCAACCGAGGAGAATCTATTTCTGCTAAAGATGCTCCTATAAAAAAATTTCTAGAATTATTAAAAATAGCACCACCTATAGTTCCATAGAACCACTCATTGGAAGGTTCTTTCAACACTTTAGACACATAATACCAAACATATTAAACAAGATGTCAAAAATAAAAAAAACTAAGAAACTGGAAGCTTATGTGAGTTGCCTCACTATTACAGTGCCTTGATGCTGTATATACATTAAGTTGTCTCTCATCATCACTATTCTTAAGAACTCAAATTAGAATTCTGGTACCTGGATTATGGCTTTTCTAGAAATAAAATACTCCAATTGTCAAAGCACTCTGCAGCATTTCACCTTTTCAGTTCTGCATTGCTTTCTTCTTTTGTTTTGTTTTAAAGATTTTTTTTTCTTTTTTTTTTATGTATTTGACAGACAGAGGTCACAAGTAGGCAGAGAGGCAGGCAGAGAGAGAGGAGGAAGCAGGCTCCCCAGTAAGCAGAGAGCCCTATGCGGGGCTCGATCCCAGGACCTGGAATCATGACCCGAGCCGAAAGCAAAGGCTTTAACCCACTGAGCTACCCAGGTGCCCCTTGTTTTAAAGATTTTATTTATTTATTTGACAGAGAGAGAGACAGACAGCGGGAGAGGGAACACAAGTAGGGGGAGTCAGAGAGGGAAAAGCAGGCTTCCTGCCAAGCAGGGAGCCCAAAGCGGGTCTTGATACCAGCACCGTGGGATCATGACCTGAGCTGAAGACAGATGCTTAATGACTGAGCCACCCAGGCATCCCATGCTTTCTTCTTTTAAATCTCATTCTCAATATAAAGATCTTTACTGTTCTCTTTACTGTGTAGGATGAAGCTGCTTTCTGCATGAGAGAACAGAAACCCTGTTCCCTGATTCAAGAAGTTATAAATGAATGTTGAGAAGGAAAATAAAAGGTAGAAGGAAAAGAATCAGTGGGAAGAGACACTCAGATTCAGAGATAAGAGATCCAAGGACAGAAGTGTGTCTTCACTTCTATCTAAGTGTGCCTGTTTCATTTTGTTCGAGTGGCATGAAGGCTTCCATTTAGAAATCCCAAATTTTCAACTATCTGGAAAGAAGAAACTGAGAGATATTAGTCTAAAATAAGAAGGATGCCAGGACTGAGAAGCAGTGATAGACAACAGAAGACAAAGAGGCAAGGAAGATAAGAAGATGGAAAACAGGTATGGGAGGCACTCAAGAGTTTTATAGGAAGATAAAAACAGTTGTTTAAAACAGCTGGGTTTTTAGCAACCAAAAATTAGTCTCAGATAGTAAGAGGTGTGATAAGCATGAAGCTTCAATGAATGTCCGTTCACATACTATTTATGACCCACTGAAGCAGCTATTTTACAAGAAGTTTGAAAAACTATCTGAGAGGAAATTGAGAACACGACACAGAACTTATCTCAATGGTCCATTATGATTATTTACTTTGTGCTTTAACAGATAAAACAGTTCCAAACTACGGGAACAGTTTCCTTCAAAATTTTTAAGAACTGTTTCAATCTATATAAAGGCATGTCAGATCCTGCTCCCCCCCCCTTAATCCTAATTCTCTTCCTTCAGGATCAGCACACTAAGAACTGATATTTTCTACATGAAAAACAGAAGTCTTGGATTTTATTAAAGGGAAAACCAATCTGGGAACTTAGAGATCAGTGATCCAGGTGTAGGGACTGAAGGGAAGCAGGCATTAAAGAAGGAAAAGGGAAAAAGAACATCAATGGTTGGGGGAGAGAACAGGTAGTGAAGAGGATTATTAAGGAGATCCAAAGAAGCCTGAAGCTACCTGGCAACTTGCCTAGGGTTCTGGTGTCCAGAGTTTAGCCCAAGAGGGCTTTGGGCTACCAACACCTGCCACTAAAATTCTAGAGAAACTGATGTCTTACCTGCAGCAAACTATACTTTTAAGGATTTACAGACATGGATATTTGGTCTACAGTAGTTTTTACATTTAGTCCTACCCAGTCTAAAAACACTCTTATCTAAATACATTTACCTGCTATGTCTCAGGCCTTGCCGAACAGAATCAGACCTACCCCTAACTGCCAAATACGTCACATTTTCAAAAACTCGTATTTAATTTTTTTTAAACTCGTATTTAATTTTAGTTGTAAGACTAATGTCTAACAGATTTAAAAAAAAAAAAACAAAACAAAACATAAGACTTTCTTACTTTTACAATATAGTATTTTCCCCAGAGCTCTGAAGAGAAAAAGAGAAATATCTTTGCCACCAATAGCTTGGACCTCTTGGTTTTCAAAAACCCTATCAGTTTTTTTCCTTTGTTTTGATTTTGACAGTGCAGCAGCTGATTTTATTGAAGACAATGCTTTCTTCCTTGGCCATAAACGGTTTTCTCCTAAATAATACACATCCAAGAGACAATATTGAAAATAAAATTAAAATATGAAAAATAAGACTGACAACATTTTATATAGTTACACTAAATAGTCTAATTAAAATATATTTTTTCTAATAAAGTATAATTATAAAATATATGAATTGAGTAACAGTCGTCTTTGGGTTGCTACACTATGAAAATGGAATAAAACATCACCTGAAAGTACCTCATGACACAGATTTTAAATTTTATGCATAGAAATGACACATTCTCTAATATAGGCCTATCATTTTGATTTCTTATGGCACTGCTTGTGCAATGTACTGTGTTCTTGATGCATGATAGATATTAGTCCATTAAATCCTGAAAATAACTTGATTAGGGGAGAACTCTTATTATACACATTAAAGATAGGAGATATAAAGAGATTAAGTAACTGCCTCAAGGGCATCAGCTTCTATAAGTGATATGAATCCAGGCAGCACAGTTCTGTAGTGCATGTTCAACAACTATTCTGTATTACCTTCCTACCGATTTGGGCACTCTTCAATTTATGAATATGCCAGTGTTGAAATTTCAGTGGTCAATCTACTGTTCAAAACTCAGAATGCATCCCTTAAGAAAAGTAGTCCGGAAGAGCAGAAAAAACTAGGATCTGGGTTTGATTCTTATTACTATCTCATTAAGCTGGTCAAGAATTAAAGGAATCAATATACGATTGCTAATACAGTTCCTGACCCACTCAAAAAATGTTATTTTCTTCCTTTTAACATTTCTGAGCTAAGAGTAATAATGTTATAAGTGACAGGATAGCAAACTGGCCTACTTCAGCCTTCCCAACCCATAATTCCAGTAGTGAACCTAAGCACCACTTACATTTATTTTTCTATTTATTTTTCTCCTTAATATTTCTACAGGAATATACAGAATTCTGATTTCAGTTGTATTAAGCTGCCCATTTACTTTTCTCTACAGTTATTTTGAAAAACAAAGATATAAACTAAACAAACAGATTATTCTTATAGGTAAACACTAGGATTTCAGGTGGGTTCTGAGAACTCCAAAGATGGCTTTTAATTTTTCAAGGTGAATTCCTCAATGTGAAACATCAAGCAGGGTGCTTGTTAAATGTTTTCTGACAAGGACCATGTACAAGAAACCATGTGCTATCTCTCTATATACATATACATTTTTAAAGATTTATTTATTTGAGAGAGAGTGCATGTGGGCACACGAGAAGGGAGAGGCGCAGAGGGAGAAAACCTTTAAGCAGACTCCCTGCTGAGCACTAAGCCCCACAGGGAGCTCCATCCATGACCCAGGAGAACATAACCTGAGCCAAAACCAGGAATTAGTCGCTCAACCTACTGAGCCAACCAGGCACCACTTTCCCTCCCCACTTTTTTTTTTAAGTAGGCTCCATGCCCAACATGTAGCCCAACACAAGGGCCTAAATTCAGGACCCTGAATTAAGACCTCAGCTGAGATCAAGAGTCAGATGTTTAACCAACTGAGCCACTATGGCACCCCTGTGCTACCTCTTTTAATATAGCATGACACTGTACCTTCCTTACAATAAAGGTAAATCAATTTATTAATTGTATCATATATAAATTAAAAATAGGGAATATATAGGTGGCTCAGTTCGTTAAACATCTGCTTTGGCTCAGGTCATGATCCCAGAGTCCTGGGATCAAGTCCCGAATCAGGTTCCCTGCTCAGCAGGGGAGCCTGCTTCTCCCTCTCCCTTGGCCTGCAGCTTCCCCTGCTTGAGTATTCTCTCTGTGTCAAATAAATAAAAATCTTTGGGGTGCCTGGGTGGCTCAGTGGGTTAAGCCTCTGACTTCAGCTCAGGTAATGATCTCAGGGTCCTGGGATCAAGCCCCACATTGGGCTCTCTGCTCAGCAGGGAGCCTGCTTCTCCCTCTCTCTCTGCCTGCCTCTCTGCCTACTTGTGATCTCTCTCTGTTAAATAAATAAATAAAAATCTTTAAATAAATACAAATCTTTAAAAAAATTAATTAAAAGTAAATACAAAGGTGAACCTGTGTAAGCACAATACTATATATCTCTTAAAGATTTATTTTTTATATATATTTTTTAAAGATTTTATTTATTTATTTGAGAGAGAATGAGTGAGAGAGAGCATGAGAGAGGAGGAGGTCAGAGGGAGAAGCGGACTCCCCAAGGAGCTGGGAGCCCGATGCGGGACTCGATCCTGAAAGGCCGGGATCATGACCTGAGCAGAAGGCAGTCGCTCAACCAACTGAGCCATGCAGGCACCCAAAGATTTATTTTGGAGAGCACACCCACATGCACTCAGTGGGGAGAGGGAGAGAGAAAACTTCGATCAGGCTCCATGCCCAACATGGAGCCCCAGGTGGGGCTTGATCTCACAACCCTGAGATCATGACCTGGGCTGAAATCAAGAGTCGGACACTTAACTAACTGAGCCATGCGGGTGCCCCTCAGCACAATACAATTAAAATTCACTAACAGCTGATCATTTATTGACTCCTTAATATATATCAAGCACTGGAATAAACACTCTACAAGTATTAACTCACTTTTCACACAATTCTGTAAGAGAGGTTCTCATATAAAAGGTGAGAATATGCAGGCACAAAAATAATTGTCATTTGCAAGATTCTTCACCAGTAAATGGCAGAGCCAGAATTTTCACCCAGGAAGTCTCATCCAAATTAACTTTAAAAAGTCAAGTAGCAATAAATAAATTAATTAAATAAAAAATTAAATCATAAATAAATAAATAAATAAAAAGTAAAGTAGCAAACCACCTAATTGAATCAGGTTTTATCTCAGGTATACAGGTACATACAATGACATATTCATAAGGTGTGTGTATGCATGTGTACATACATAATTTTACAGAACAGTCTCAAAAAAACAATAGATGGAGATATATATCAATTATAAGTTAAAATATGTTTAGTTTGATTTCGATTCATGAACAACTAAGAGAAAGTCAGTCACCCAAACAATGCAGTAAGAATTTATCTTTCACAGTTACCTTTTTTTTTTTTTTTTTTTAAATATTTTATTTATTTGACATAGAGAGAGAAGCAAGAGCGAGCACAGGCAGACAGAGTGGCAGGTAGAGGCAGAAGGAGAAGCAGGCTCCCTGCCAAGCAAGGAGCCCGATGTGGGACTCGATCCCAGGACGCTGGGATCATGACCTGAGCCGAAGGCAGCCGCCCAACCAACTGAGCCACCCAGGCGTCCCTCACAGTTACCTTTTGAAGAAGAAAACTGGAGGCTGTTTATTGCACTTCTGATATCACCAGAACACCCTTGACAGAGCAACTCTAGAGAACTTCTATCAGGGACAGTAATATTTCCTCCATTCTAAAATGAAAAAAATTAAAGTTTAAAAAACTAGTTTCTAAAACCAAAAAAACAGCTCCCCTGTTTCGAAACTAAATGAAAAAGTACATTAGAATCTTTTAAAGTTAGATGCTAAAAAGCTTCCATATTAAATGCCAGTCTGCTCAGGAAAGCCAATGACTTATCATAGCTTAAGGTAAATTCTCAAGAGTATAAAATAATTTCACTTGCTTACTTGGCCTAGATTATATTTCGAAGTTCTCTTACTATAAACACATGTATATATAAATATATACATACACACACACCCACACACATATATACATACATATAAACATCATTCCCTTGTCAGTTCAAGTATAAGACCAGAAAAATTTATCTATCCCTCTCCACCTTAAGAAACTCCTAATTGTTTCCTGACAACATGATTTAAATTGATTCCAGGTCATGATCTCAGGGGCCTGGGATTGAGTCCTACAGTGGCTCCATGCTCAGTGGGGAGTCTGCCTGAGATTCTCTCCCTCTGCCCATCCCCCTGCTTGTGAATACACACACATGTTCTCTAATAAATAAATCTTTAAAAATATATATATATATTTCTGTGGAAGGAAAATTGCCTCCAAAGTGTCTCTAGCAATTACTAATTTATTTTTTTCTACCAATAGTTATGTGAGAGTACCAATTTTTTATCTTTGGCAACCCTGTTCATTGATCTCTTAAAATTTCTGCAAACTGATATGTGAAAAATGGTGTCTGGTTTAAATATTAATTTCTTTGATTACCAGTAGGGCAAAATACCTCTCATGTTTACTGGCCATTTGTATTACTCTGTGTATTGGCTTCTCTGTTCTTGGAATTTTTACTGATTTATTTATTTTTTTAAAAGCTTTTATTTATTTTTGCAAGAGAGAGGGAGAGTGTACTAGAGCAAGCACAAGTGGGATGAGGGGCACAGGGAGAAGCAGACTCCCTGCTGAGCAGGGATTCCCAATGTGGAGCTCAGTCCTGGGACTTCAGGATCATGAACTGAACCAAAGGCAGATGCTTAACTGACCGACTCATCCAGGCACTCCTGTCCTTAGCCTTTTTAGGTAGGCACATTTTTATATATTCATATATTAATACTTTATCTTATATAAATTGCAAATATTTTCTTCCATTCTCATGCTTGTCTTTTACCTTAGCTTACCATGCCTTCTATCATTCCCTGAGCTTTTCATTTTTCTGAAGTAAATCCAATCCAATGTTTTTAGGGCTTTTGTTTCTTATTTAGGAATACTACCCCTCAAACCAAAGTCAGTACTTTTTCTTAATACCATTTTCATTTGAGGGTGCCTGGGTGGCTCAGTGGGTTAAGCATCTGCCCTTCACTTAGATCATGATCTGACTGATCAGATCATGATCACGATCTCCAGGTCCTGGTTTCAAACCCCAAGTCCAGCTTCCTGCTTAGCAGGGAGTCTGCTTCTCCCTCTCTCCTGTTCTGTCCCTCCCTACTGCTCATTTTCTCTCTCAAATAAATAAAATCTTTTAAAAAAATACTATTGTCTTTTTTTTTTTGCATTCAGAACTTTCATTTATCCAGAAATCTTTTTCTAAAGATTATTTATTTTACAGAGAGCACACGTGTGAGTGGGAGAGGGAGCAGAGGGAAAGATTCTCAAGCAGACTCCCCACTGAGCGCATAGACCAAGGCAGGGATCATATCAGGACCCTGAGATTGTGACTTGAGCCAAAATCAAGACTCAGAGGCTCACCTGACTAAGCCACTTAGGTGCCCCTACCTAGAAATTATTTTTATGCACAGTATAAAGATGCAACCTTATGTTTCCCACATGGATATCCAATTGTGCTAATATCACTTTTTAATTATAATAGTCTCCTCTCTCCCCAGTGTAAAATGCTACTTCCATTATACAGAAAATTGTCATTTACACATACTGATATATTTCTGTGCTGTTTTCTAACTGAATCCTTCCTTTTTTCTGTTACCATGTCAACAGTACATAGTTGTAATATTTATAGTTTTACATTGTGTTCCAATACCTAGATAGCAAGTCTCTCTTCACTATTCTTTTACCAAAATTTTCCTGCTCATGTTTGTGAATTTCTCTTCCAGATTACCTTCACTTTTATTCTGGATACATTTATTTTATTTAAAATTGTTTCAAGAGTATTTGTTTTTGAAAACTTCTAGTGTGGACTACTTGCCAAAAAGGAAATGTAATTTTTTTTTTTTTTTTTTAAGATTTCATCCATTTATTTGAGAGAGTGTGAAAGAGAGAACATGACTGGGCAGGAAGGGCTGATGGAGAGGGAGAAGTAGACTCCCCACTGAGCAAGAAGCCTGACCCAGGGCTTGATCCCAGGATCCTGAGATCATGACCTGAGCTGAAAGCAGACATTTAACTGACTGAGCCACGCAGGCGCACCAGGAAATGTAATTTGAAATCATGATCCTTTGTAGCTGAAGGAAATACCACAGATGGTAATCACTTTGAACACACAAATGTGACTGAAATGTGTGATCACACTTTACATACATAACAATATCAACAAAAAGACTAAAGATCTTTTTTTTCCTTGTAAAAACAGAAAAACATCTATTTAAACTAAAAACAAAACACAACAACAACCAAAAAAACCCCCCAAACCTAAGATAGTCACCATTCTTTTAACTAAATCACTTAAGATGTCAACAGTCTTGGGACACCTGGGTGGCTCAGTCAGTTAAGCTGCTACCTTTGACTCAGGTCATGATCCCAGGGTCCTGGGATCGAGTCCCGTATGGGGCTCCTTGCTCGGCAGGGAGCCTGCTTCTCTCTGCCTCTGCCTGCCTCTCTGCCTGCCTCTCTGCCTGCCTCTCTGCCTGCTTGTGTGCACTCTCTCTCTGACAAATAAATAAAATAAATCTAAAAAAAAAAAGAGAGAGAGAGAGATGTCAACAGTCTTTCTTAATATAATTAACTGAGCTACAGAATGCCAGACATTAAAATGATCTTTTGATTTTCTTCTACCATCATTATCATTGTTGAGGATGCCAAATAGTATCTTAACATTTCATTTTATAAAAGCGTGAAAGACTTGAATAGTGTGCTGGGTGCTGCCCCTGTGATGTAACAGTGTAAACAATAATATCAAAACTACACCAGTTTTAGGGGCACGTGGCTGGCTCAGTCAGTAGCATATGTGACTCTTTTGATCTTGGGGTTGTAAGTTCAAGCCCCATGGTGGGTGTAGAGGTTACTTAAAAATTTTTAATATCTTAAAAAAAAAAAAGGTATACTAGTTTTAACATTCTTGTAGATCCACTATTTAAGGTATAGCATGTTAATTACGTAACAAAAAAGTCATGGAATCTCTTTTCACTATTCCAACACAACTTGCTAAAGTGAATGCCATTTGCAATTTAATGACTTAGTCTTTTTTTTTTTTAAGATTTTACCCATTTATCTGACACAGAGAGAGAGATCCCAAGTAGGCAGAGAGGCAGGCAGAGAGAGGAGAAAGAAGCTCCCTGCTGAGCAGAGAACCTCATGCAGGGCTCAATCCCAGGGCCCCGACACCATGACCCAAGCCGAAGGGAGGCCCAACCTCCTGAGCCACCCAGGTGCCCCTAAGGACTTAGTCTTGAAAAAAGTTTTGAGTTAATGTGGTAAGGTGCTATGATGTTGATTATGTTTATTCTCAATGTTTGTTTAATAAATATTTAAAAGCTATAATTTATAGTTATGCTCCTGGTGCAAAAGGTAGGTTTTTTTTTTAAAAGACATTAAAAAAACAAATCACAAGTAATCCTACCATCCAGAACCAATCACCCTCAGCATTTTTATGTACTTTCTTCTAGTATGTACAGGTTCAAGTAGATATGTGCATTCTGCGTTACTGAAAATGTTTTAGCACAGTGAAATGGAGTTAGAATGAAACCTTAAACCTATCTGATACTTAATAGTTGTGGGATATTATGCAAGTTGTTCCCCCACCCAAAAGCTATTTCCTTATCTGTAAAATAGGGATTATGTACCAGTTTTGTATGGCTGTGGTGAGATTTAATGTAAAAATACATGTAAAAATGTAAAATGTAAAATGTAAAAATACTCTGCATAGTGCCTGACATATAACAATTTCTATTGTTAGCACTGTAACTTCACTTATTCATTTACTTATTTAAAATAACCTCTGCACCCAGTGAGGTCACGACCCCCAGATTAAGAGTTCCATGCTCTTCCGGATGAGCCAGCCAGGTGCCCCAGCATCTTTTTTTTTTTTTTTAAAGATTCTATTTATTCATTTGACAGAGAGAGAGATCACAAGTAAGCAGAGCAGCAGGCAGAGAGAGAGGGGGAAGCAGGCTCCCCGCTGAGAAGAGAGCCCGATGCGGGGCTCGATCCCAGGACCCCGAGACCACGACCCGAGCCGAAGGCAGAGGCCCAACCCACTGAGCCACCCAGGCACCCCGCATCTTGTTATTTTTAACTTGACAATTAAATCGTTATTTTCTCGTGTCACTAAAAATCCTCAAAACACTAATTAATCACATGATACCTCACCATAATAACTGCTCCCTCTGTTACTGGACTCAGTTTGTTTCTAATTTTTCACTATTAATAGTTTTTATTTAAGTACTCTACATAATACATTATTTTGTTTAATCCACAAAGTAAACTCTCCCTTGGAGATTTCCCTCAGTACTATGATCTGAGCAGTATGAAAAAACCTTCTGTTTCATATAAGATCTAGTTGATTTATAGCAGTAGGGCCCCCAGAACCATGCTGCTGGGAGAAGTTCCATCAATTTATTTTAACATCATGCTGATTTGAAAGATAGAAAAAAATGATGTATAACAAATGACTACAGCTATTTTACAACAATGTTAATATATGTAACACTACTGAACTATACACTTAAAAATGGTTAAATGGTATAGTTGATAATACCACAAAACTATTTGAAAGCTGCTAATAAGCGAGCAGATCTTAAATGTTCTCACCACAGAAAAGAAATGGTAATTACATGAAGTAATGGAGGTGTTGTGTAATGCCATAGTGGTAATCATTCTGCAATACGTAAGTAATCAAATAAACATGCTGTACACCTTAAACTTAATAAACAATATTACATGTCAAGTGTCTCTCCATAACATCAGAAAATAAATGATTAAGATGGTAAATTTTATGGTAAGTTTTTTACAATAAACATATTGTTAAATTTTAAAAAAATTGACAACAGGACAAGAGTAGTGTTGGACTGCTGATGATTAATATACCTAGAGGCCAGGAAACAGTTTCTTTTCCTTTCTTTTTTTTTTTTTTTTAAGATTTTATTTATATATTTGACAGGCAGAGATCACAAGTAGGCAGAGAGGCAGGCAGAGAGAGAGGAGGAAGCAGGCTCCCCGCCGAGCAGAGAGCCCGACGCGGGGCTCGATCCCAGGACCCCGGGATCACGACCCGAGCCGAAGGCAGAGGCTTTAACCCACTGAGCCACCCAGGCGCCCCAATAAATAAAATCTTAAAAAAAAATAGATTCAGATTAATCAGTTCTTAAGAGACTTACCTTGTTAGCTTCCACTGTCACTATTCGATTAAGAAATTTCATCATAATTGTTGGTGCCACAGGGTTAAAACTGTTAAAAAAGTATTTTAAAGAAAAATAGTGGTTAAATGATCAATTTAAAAATATAACATGTATATGAGTGTTATAAGCAGAAATTTCATTCTTACCTAATGTTTGCTATAGCACACTCTTCCTGAATTTCTTTGGGAAACAATAACCTCTGATTATTATCTCCACTGAGACTGTCAGAAATTATAAATATTAGAGGACATCGACCAGTGTGCACATATTTCCTAGAATAAAGTACAGCAATGTTTAAATACAAGCTAATGCCATTTAATTCAAAGTTTGAGAAAACTTCACTGAAACTCACCTGAGAATTTCATGTAAAGTATGAGAATCTCGATAAAACTGGTTAGGTAAATCCTATTGAAAAATGGTAAATATTACTCAGTTATATTATTGTGTAAGTTTATGTAAGACTTGTATTTACCAAATCAGGGAAAAAATGTTATATATACAATTCAGAAATTAAGGAAAACATGAAAAAGTGGATGTACTAAACAGTAAAATGCATCAATAGGAAACCCAATTTTCAATCAAATTTCTTAGGATCACTACTAGTTACAGTATTTTCACTAAAAATATCATTTGCCAAATAGTTTCTTTTGCTTTTCTATACTGAAGACATTAAAATTTTAAAGTTCATTAACTTATAGCTTCTATTCAAGTTTACTGAAAAAGACCTGAGGTTTCCGCTATCACCGAGCTTTTACATTACATTTTACCACTATTAATACCATGGAGAGAATTAATGCCCCTATCAATAAGATATATCTTGCAATTATTTACTCTATAGTTACAGCAGGATCTCAAAATCTGTCCGTACTTCAACGAGAATTATCCTCTTATCAGTTCTTAGATCATCTCCAAGCATTTGTAGTTTGTTATACTTTGTTGCTCTTAGTAGAAACTCTTTAAAAACTGCTATTTGAGACTGGTAGGGAAATACATGGAAGCTGGATTCTGAAAAAAAAATTTAACACTTTTACTTTCAACAAATTATGTATACATCAGAATTACACACAAGTAACACACACATATACATTACTGATTACATTCACATATACCTGAAGCTTACAACATTGTAGATTTTTTTTACTTAGGCAAAGCTGTACAAATTTAAAATAGGATATTCATGGGGTGCCCCGGTGGCTCAGTGGGTTAAGCCTCTGCCTTCAGCTCAGGTCATGATCTCAGAGTCCTGGGATCGAGCCCCGCATTGGGCTCTCTGCTCAGCAGGCAGCCTGCATCCCCCACCGCCACCTGCCTCTCTGCCTACTTCTGATCTCTCTCTCTCTCTGTCAAATAAATATATAAAATATTTTAAAAAATATAACAAAATTAGATATGCATTTCAAAAAACAAGAGTCATCACGGACCACAATGAATTTTCTATAACAATGAATGTAATATGGAATTAACTGACTTTAGAACACAGCTGCTAATATAATAATCACACAACTGGTAAAAACATTTACATCTTTGCCTATACAATTAAAAAAACTCCAAATGAGTGTGTTGACAATGAATCAATTAGTCAGACTTAATCCTTAAAGAATCTCATTCTCTTAGGGCACCTGGGTGGCTCAGTGGGTTAAAGCCTCTGCCTTCGGCTCAGGTCATGATCTCAGGGTCCTGGGATCAAGCCCAGCATCGGGCTCTCTGCTCAGTGGGGAGCCTGCTTCCCCCTCCCTCTCTGTCTGCCTCTCTGCCTACTTGTGATCTCTGTCAAATAAATAAATAAAATCTTTTTTAAAAATCCCATTCTCTTCTACTAGAAGCAAGCTTCCCCTCTTAAAGTATTTCTGTCTGAAACTGGGAAGTAGGAAAGCAAATGGTCTCATATGGTTTCATGTGATCGCTACTGTCATTTTGTGAACCTACTGATAGCGGGTAGATGTCAATCTAGCATAGGAGTGACAACATATATTTTCGCACAAAAACATATACCCAGGGGCGCCTGGGTGGCTCAGTCATTAAGCCTTTGCCTTCAGCTCATGTCATGATCCCGGGGCCCAGGGATCAACGCCCACATCAGGCTCCCTGCTCAATGAGCCTGCTTCTCCCTCTCCCTCTACCTGTAGCTTCACCTGCTGTGCCCTCTCTGTCAAATAAATTTTTAAAATCTTAAAAACAAAACAAAATGAAACGAAACAAAAAACATACCCAAAAGGATCTTAGGAATCTCGAGAATAGAGTTGGGGAGGTTATTTCAAACCTCCTTTAAACATAGACTTTTCCCACTATTTCTATTACGTTCATAGCAAACCTTACCAGGATTAAGTATCTCCTTGAAATCATCTTTTTGGAAGTCTGATAAAATTGGATTAATCCACTCTTGTACTTGAATACCATGCTTCTTTGATAGTATTTTTAGAGTTGTTGTTTTCCCACATCCAGGAGGACCTGTTATTAATAAAATAGATCCACCCTAAAACCAAATACAAATATTAATCAAAAATCAAAATCACACACACAAAAATCAAAATCACTGGAATGCTAGAATGTTATGTTTGATTTTTTTTTTACGTTTGAATTTTCTTTTAAATATTACTTCCATAAAGATTTACTAAATATCTGAAATAAGCGGACTAACTTATTTAACACAGATGTTACCTGGATTATACCAGCTTTAGATGAAAGAGGATAATCTTATTTCTTCAACTTTAAGCATAAATTCTGATAGTTCTTCAATTCTTACACTATGCCTCTCCCAAGGACTACTTAGTAGCCAAATTAAAACAACTAAACTTCAGCTAGATTAAGGAGATAATGTCTGAAACAAGTATTTTTAGAGGTTACTTGAACTCAAAATTCAAACTTAATACAGATCTCTTTGGATTATATGCTTTAGTATTAAACAAGTATAATATTTTGCTGGGAAATGTAGGATATCAGAATCGTTACAAAATGTGTCTTAAGAAATTATTTTCCAGGGTGCCTGGGTGGCTCAGTTGGTTAACCAACTGCCTTTGGCTCAGGTCATGATCCCGGAGTTCCAGGATTGAGTCCTACATCGGGCTCCCACCTCCACGGGTAGTCTGCTTCTCCCTCTGACCTTCTCCCCTCTCATGCTCTCACTCTCTCTCTCAAATAAATAAATAAAATCTTTAGGAAAAAAAAAGAAAAAGAGAAAGAAAAATATTTTCCAGAGATAGAACTCCAAAGAGAGACTATAGGTTAGGTCATAATAATATCTCCTCATGTAATAAATCTGATAAAAAAAAAAAAGTTAAAGTTAAAAATATATCAGGGGAAGATGATTTCCTACATTCCCTGGTGGGCTATAATCCTTGCTCAGCTGTTTACCTTTACTACCTAATGCAAATAAGGGACCTTGTACATGGCCCCAGAGGACAACCCGTCCTACTTTTTAAAATGTATGAGTGTATGAGTTATAGTGATATTAGCCATGACTTTAATGATTAAATAATATATATTAAATATGGTGTCTCTGATCAAATACAGAAAACAAGGTTATATATTGATGAGTTGATGTAAAGGTGACCAAATAAAGACTGTTTTGCAGGAATCTAAATCCTTACTTCTCTTTGGAACTATGACTCAGTATTTGCTTACTGTTTCTAGTAACTTTACAAGACATACCTAATGTAAATAATGAGAACTGACTACTTGCAAGGAGATTTTAAAAAAAAAGAGGATGATCAAGCATGGACACCCAGGTACGTTTCTTTTTTTTTTAAAGATTTTATTTATTTATTTGACAGAGAGAGAGATCACAATCAGGCAGAGAGGCAGGCAGAGAGAGAGGGGGAAGCAGGCTCCCCACTGAGCAGAGAGCCCGATGCAGGGCTTGATCCCAGGACCCTGAGATCATGACCTGAGCCGAAGGCAGAGGCTTTAACCCACTGAGTCACCCAGGTGCCCTCCATGTATGTTTCTTATATAATAAAGTGCCTTATTTTTTGATGGAGTGAGTAGAGCCACATAACAAAAGTTTTGCTTCCAATAAGTGGGAGATAGTCTATGAGAACACTAAAACATGAAGACTTTTGTTAATGTTCCCATCGTCTACAGTATAATAGGCTTTTCTTCATTGTTTTAAACTGAAGTAAAAATGGCATATAGCATCCTAATAGTTTGTACATCATAGTGACTCAATATTTTTATGTCTTACAAAATTATCATAAGTCTAGTTATCATGTCACTATATAAAGTTACTACAATATTACTGACTATATCCACTATGCTGTACATTACATTTCCATCACACTGTAACAGTTTTACTATATTCTGAAAATGTTGCTCTGAAAAATTAAATTCAGTATTTTAAGTACTTACAATAAATTTAAGAAAAAATAATTTTAGCTTGTCCACAGAAAAATCTATACATTGTCAAAAATTTGCGGGGGGGAGCTGCCTGGGTGGCTCAGTGGGTTAAAGCCTCTGCCTTCGGCTCAGGTCATGATCTCAAGGTCCTGGGATCGAGCCCCGAGTCAGGCTCTCTGCTCAGCAGGGAGCCTGCTTCCCTTCCCCTCTCTCTGCCTGCCTCTCTGCTTACTTGTGAACTCTGTCAAATGAATAAATAAAAAATCTTTAAAAAAAAGAAAAAATTGGCGGGGGGGATGCCTGGGTGGCTCAGTTGCTTAAGCATCTGCCTTCAGTTCAGATCATGATCCCAGAGTCCTGGGATTGGGGGAGTCCCATGTGGGGAAACCTTGCTCAGCAGGGAGCCTGTTTCTCCCACTGCCTGCTGCTCCCCCTACTGCCTGCTACTCCCCCTGCTTATGCTCTGAAAAAAAAAAAAAAAAAAAATCTTTAAAAATATTTTTCTTGAATAAAAATGTCTTATAATTACTGACATCATTGAACTTTTATATAATAAAGAGTATACAACTGGTGAGAGTTCAACTTCTTAGCAGGAAGATTTTATTTTTATTTTTTTAAAGATTTTATTTATTTGTCAGAGAGAGTGGGGGGAAGAGAGAGAGAGAGAATGCACACAAGCAGGGGGAAAGGCAGGCAGAGGGAGAAGCAAACTCCTGCTGAGCAACGAACCTGATGAAACACTCGACCCTAAGACCCCTAACCAACCAAGCCACGCAGGTGTCCCAATAAATGAAATCTTGAAAAAAAAAAAAATCACCATTTCACAATCTTAACAAAATAACTGATTCAGGCCAGGACTGAAAATGGACACTAAAGCACTTATGTGAAAGACTACGGGGGAAATTCGACTTTTTTTTTTTTTCTTAAAGATTTTATTTATTTAACAGACAGAGATCACAAGTAGGCAGAGCAGCAGGCAGAGAGAGAGGGGGAAGCAGGCTCCCCGCCGAGCAGAGAGCCCGACATGGGGCTCAATCCCAGGACCCTGGGACCATGACCCGAGCAGAAAGCAGAGGCTTAACCCACTGAGCCACCCAGGCACCCCAGGAATTGGACATTTAACATTGTGAAATTATCTCCCTATAGATTATGTGGCAGTCGCCAAGGGAAAATTACTTCATAATGAAGATTTCTAACTATTACTGGGGTTCCTGAGTGGCTCAGTAGGTTAAGTGTCTGCCTTTGGCTGAGGTCATGATCTCAAGAGTCCCGGGACTGAGCCCCCAGTTGGGCTCCCTACTTAGTGGGGAGCCTGCTTCTTCCTCTCCCCGCCTCTCGCTCATGCTCTCTCTAATAAATGAATAAAATCTTAAAAAAAAAAAAAAGATTTTTACTATTATTTCCTTAATTTAGTGATCAAAGTTAATATGAAAAACAGGAGAACCGGAGCGCCTGGGTGGCTCAGCGGGTTAAAGCCCCTGCCTTCGGCTCGGGTCATGGTCCCAGGGTCCTGGGATCGAGCCCCGAGTTGGGCTCTCTGCTCGGCGGGGAGCCTGCTTCCCTTCCTCTCTCTGCCTGCCTCTCTGCCTAACTGTCGTCTCTGTCTGTCAAATAAATAAATAAAATTAAAAAAAAAAAAAACAAAACAGGAGAACCAAACATATTTTCTGATATGGTGCAATATAAAACATACACCACGACCTAAAAAGTATTCTTAAAAAATGTTCAACTTGAGTCTAATCAAACCCTTGATTCAAACTTCCAGGCCACAGGAAATGGAAGATAGAAGAACAGATTAGTCATCCTGAAAAGGAAACAACCTGACAAATCTAGAAGGTCAGGGTTCTACACGTCACCTGGCCTGGACTCTCGGGTAAGTCAGTGTCTTAGAGTAAAAGAGAGGGTAAAAGAGGACCGTTCTAGATTTTAAAAGACCTAAGGCGTGTAACAATCAAAAGCAACATGTAGTCCTTGATTAGATCCTGGTTGCAACAAATCCACTATAAATAACATTTTGCAGACAAACAGAGAAATGTGAATATGAAACGAGCATTAGATAACATTATCTACATAACACTAGATAATTTTGTTAGAATAATGATATATATAACAGAATACTATGCAGCCATCAAAAGAAATGAAATCTTGCCATTTGCAACAATGTGGATGGAACTAGAGGGTATTATGCTGAGCGAAATAAGTCAATTAGAGAAAGACAATTATCATATGATCTCCCTGATATCAGGAATTTGAAAGGCAAAGTGGGGGGTTTGGGGGGCAGGGAAGGAAAAAATGAAACAAGATGGGATCAGGATGGAGACAAACCCTAAGAGACTCTTAATCTCACAAAACAGAGCGTTGCGGGCGGGAGCGGGGGGGGGGGGGGGGGGGGGGGGGAGGGATAGGGAAAGGGTGGTGGGGTTATAGACACTGGGGAGGGTATGTGCTATGGTGAGTGCTGTGAAGTGCGTAAGCCTGACGATTCACAAACCTGCACCCTGGGGCTAATAATACATTATATGTTAATTTAAAAAAAAAAAAAGAATATTCTTTATAATATCATTCTCTGTTTGTCCATGTTTGAAATTCTCAATATTAAAAAACAAAAAGAGGGGCGCCTGGGTGGCTCAGTGGGTTAAAGCCTCTGCCTTCGGCTCGGGTCGTGATCCCAGGGTTCTGGGATCGAGCCCCGCATCGGGCTCTCTGCTCAGCAGGGAGCCTGCTTCCTCCTCTCTCTCTCTGCCTGCTTCTCTGCCTACTTGTGATCTCTGTCTGTCAAATAAATAAATAAAATCTTAAAAAAAAAAAACAAAAAGAAGGGCGCCTGGGTGGCTCAGAGGGTTAAGCCTCTGCCTTCGGCTCAGATCATGATCTCAGGGTCTTGGGATCGAGCCCCGCATCGGGCTCTCTGCTCAGCAGGGAGCCTGCTTCCTCCTCTCTCTCTCTGCCTGCCTCTCAGCCTACCTGTGATCTCTGTCAAATAAATAAATTAAAAAAATATATATATATAAAAAACAAAAAGATTAAAAAAAAAGAATAATGGTATATACAGTCAATTAGGAAAGTGCTTTATTTTTAAAAAAGAGGCATATGGATATTTCTAGAAGTCTGACTAAAACATCACATATTCATAATTGAAAATACTTTAAAATACTTAAGAGTGAAAATGAGGTACATAGTAGGCATAAGACTATTCATTTATTATTCTACTTTACTTTTGAAGAATCTTGAAATAAAGTTTAAAAAGAGAGAAAAAAATATTCTAGCTTGAAGGTTAAAAGTAATTACAGAAGTAGGAAGTGAAACAAAAAACATCAGCCTTAAAATGAATGATGACTGTTTTAGGCTGTATTTAGTACAAAACTAATATGTAATTTGCTTGCTTGCTTCTGATGTGTTAAATATACTGGCACCCTAACGAGTTTATTATGCTTAATGATGATGATGAGACATAAGTGGGTAAAAGAAGTTTAAGAAAGAAACTAAAAATCTCTGAGTCTTTTGGTGAAGTGTATAGGAGTAAATAAGAGACTTTTTTATTGTAGGTGATTTGGACTTAACAAAGTCAACATAAAAGTTTAATTTCTGGAAGACTGGGTGGCTCAGTTAGTTAAACATCTGCCCTCAGCTCAGGTCATAATCCCAGAGTCCTGTGGTCAAGCCCTGCATCAGGCTCTCTGCTCCATGGGGAGCTTGCCTTTCCCTCTCCCTCTGCCTGCTGCCTCCCCTGCTTGTGCACACACATACTCTGTCAAATCAAGCAATCGATCTTAAAAAAAAAAAGAAAAAGAGTTTAAGTTCTTACAACCAACTATAAAACAGAGAAACATTTGATGTTATATATTTTAAAACACATTTCTTATTCAATTACCTGTTTTGGTTGCCTTTCTAAGACTTTAGCTTTTAACCAGGTTTCAACTTCTTCAATTTTCTTTTTATGCACAGCAAGTTCATGCTAAAAATTTCAAGTTTAGAACAAACATTTTAACTCAAGGATTTTTGGTACAGCAGCCCACATTAATCTAAATTAAGCATTTTCAATGAAGAAAACTAGCAAACAACATGATAAGAGAATTTAAAAGTCTTTGCTATTAAACTTCATTTTTTATATTGAAAAATTCTGGGGACGCCTGGGTGGCTCAGTGGGTTAAAGCCTCTGCCTTCAACTCAGGTCATGATCCCATGGTCCTGGGATCGAGCCCCACATCAGACTCTCTGCTTGGCAGGGAGCCTGCTTCCCTTCCTCTCTCTCTGCCTGACTCTGCCTACTTGTGATCTCTGTCTGTCAAATAAGTAAATAAATAATCTTAAAAAAAAAGAGGGGGGGGCGCCTGGGTGACTCAGTGGGTTGAAGCCTCTGCCTTTCGCTCAGGTCATGATCTCAGGGTCCTGGGATTGAGCCCTGTGTCGGAGAGCCTGCTTCCTCCTCTCTCTCTGCCTGCCTGTCTGCCTACTTGTGATCTCTGTCAAAGAAATAAATAAAATCTTAAAAAAAAAATTCTATCCTTAACACTGATACTGTTGTCTGAGAATTTGGAGCAGGTTGGGAATTACAAAACTTTAAAATCCCGACATACATTTTTGGGAAGGGAATAAATAGGGAGAGATATCACATTTAAGAAAATAAACAGATCAATTCTATGTTGGGATTAAATTAAATCTATGACAAATATCCAACAATACAATTTCAGAATAACTTGAGAAATGCTGAGCCATGGAACATAAAAAAACTAGGAATTACTGGGTTTTTTCCTAATTCATTTAGAAAGATTTTTATGAGTAATAATCTGAAAATATATATTCCTCTCCTTCTTGAAACTGCATTATATACACTTGTTTGCATCCTTTTTAGTACCTGAGTTTCTGGCTTGTATTTATCCACCCATGGTTCATTTTCAGACAGATATTCTTTTGAATTCTCAAGACCATAAATCTTTTCTGAGGAAGATGGCTTTTCTCTTTTTCTAGCTGGAAATCTGCTACTGTCTAATCTGGAAGGCACATTTTTCCTTCTGTGACTTGAGTTATTCACACCTAATGATGTGGCAGTAATAGAGATGCCTGTATTCTCTGAAAAATCATCAAACGATGGGTCCACCCAGTCTGTTACCTGAAAAAAAAGAAATCATGTAAATATTACATTATCTACCTCTATTCCCTATATAAGTAAACTGTCTATAAAAAAACATATTCACATATCTGCAACATTTTATTTTTATTTTTTTAGAAGATTTTATTTATTTGTCAGAGAGAGAGAGTGCACACAAGCAGGGGGAGCAACAGGCAGAGAGAAGCAGGCTCCCCTCTGAGCAAGGAGCCTGATGTGGGACTTGATCCCAGGACCCTGAGATCATGACATGAGCCAAAGGCAGATACTTAACCGACTGAGCCACCCAGGCATCCCTATCTGCAACATTTTAAATCGAAACCTCACAAATTAGCTCTTTAAGTAAAACTGGCACTATACATATTAGTTATTTTTTTACTTCATGGTAAGTACATATGCATACTTGTCCGCTTCACCAGGGTAATCACGAATGCCATATAAAGGAATATAGAATACAAACTTAATTCTTTTTACTAATTATAATCTTCCTAGTATAGAATAGGCTGATTCTTCTTAAGCTCATTTGTTTTTTTGTTTTTTTTTATTTGACAGAGATCACAAGTAGGCAGAGAGGCAGGCAGAGAGAGAGGAGGAAGCAGGCTCCCCGCTGAGCAGAAAGCCCGATGCGGGGCTCGATCCCAGGACCCTGAGATCATGACCTGAGCCGAAAGCAGAGGCTTTAACCCACTGAGCCACCCAGGCGCCCCTCTTAAGCTCATTTGTAGGACTGAAACAGAAATACTAAAATTACATGCCAAAAAGAAGCAAAACAAAGAAATAAAATATTATTTTAAGCATATATAACTGTAAGAAGAATAAAACTTCTGTCTTGACCAGGCTAATTAATTCACAAACTAAGAACCACTGCAGATATCCAAATAATCCCTATCAGCTTCAGGACTTTGAGAAGATACAGCCTAAGAATCCTGATGGTATGAATAATTTGTAAATATGAACTGATTTTATTCTCTTCAGCCCATAAAGCAAATAGTATTTTCATAAAGGGAGGCAGGCTTTCCAGGGAGAAGGACTTGTTTCCCAGATTTGTCTAAGAAAACAGAACTGGGATAATAGAACAGCAAAATCAATGGTTCTACTTCATGTTCTTCTGTTTTTTTGAGAAATTGCTGATCTCTCTACATTTCCTCCATCATTCCCTTTCCTTTAGAATCCTCTGTAAGTATACACAGATGAAGATAATGAATTCAGCAATTTAAAACTAAAAATACTTTGGTGTATTAAAAAGGTTTTTTTCTGAACAAAAATTTTTATGATGAATTTTCTTAACATTTCTGAAGTATAAATCTAGAAAAACCTAGCTTAGTATGTGGCTTTTGAAATTCCTTGGCTGCCTAATAAGGGGGAACCAAGATTATATTTTCCTTGAAGAACACTCAGCCATAGTTGTGAACCATTTACTAGACAATGCTAAGGAAAAGCAAGCTGGGGTTTAGAACTATCTCAGGAATGAAAGTCACACTTCATTCCCCCTTTAAAGACAGAAGGTTAGGAATACTATCACCAATAAGTAAAGAAATGAAGACCTGTGGGAAAAAATTTCAGTCACAGCCTAAAAATTCATTTCTCCTTCTTCAAAAGACTGTCGACAGTACTACAATTTTGGCTCCTCATCTGTTTTTAAGAGTTTAGGGGCACCCGGGTGGCTCAGTCAGTTAAGAATCTGCCTTCGGCTCAGGCCGTGATCCCAGGGTCCTGGGATTGAGCCTTGCATCGAGCACCTGCTAACCAGGGAGCCTGCTTCTCCCTCTGCCCCTCCTTTCTCTTTTTCTCAAATAAATAAAATCTAAAAAACAAACAAGAGTACCTAGGGGCACCTGGGTGGCTCTGTCAGTTGAGCTCGAACTTTTGGTTTCAGCTCAGGCTGTGATCTCAATGTCATGAAATGGAGCCCAGAGTTGGGCTCCACACTCAGCAGAGTCTGTTTAAGACTGCCTCTGCCCTCCCCACCCCTGCCCCTGACCCTGGCTCGCACAGGTTCTCTCTCCCAAAATAAATACATCTTAAAAAAAAAAAAAAAAAAAGTAAAAATACCATATTATAATAAAACTTTTGATAGCATATCTGATCTTGCAATTCTGATCTGCAAGTTATTTATACATTTTATAGTTTTATATCTTACATAAACATGGGAGTCCTATTTACTGGGGAAAAAAGAAACACCAAAAATTAATAATTTACTTAAGATCAGAGAAAAATAAGACCCACCAGTATGAAAATAACTACCCAGCAAATAAGCATGATACTGACTGACCCCATCCTACACTATCACTAGCCTTGCTGAGAACTGGCACTCAAAAACATGATTTTTAAGTGGCAGGCCTTGTGGTTACGCTTTATTTGTATTTATCTATCTTTTTAAAGATGTTATTTATTCATTTGAAAGAGAAAGAAATAGCGAGGAGAGGGGCAGATGGGGAGGGAGAGAAAAGGAGAGAATCCCAAACAAACCCAGCACTGAATGCAGAGTCTGCCACAGAGCTCCATCCCACAACCCTGAGATTATGAGCCAAAACCAAGAGTCAGATGCTCAACTAACAGTGCCACTATTGCCCCTCGTTGTTACACTGTAATACTATGACTCATGTTTTTCTTTCTTCTATTGATCTTCCATGCAAGAGTTTTCAGCCTTTCTTCCGACTGAAATTGAAAACACTTTTTAAAAAATTAAGGTTGTGCTTTTAGTCATTTCACACTTAATATTGCAATTTTTAGATCACCAATTACAACAGATACTGTACACTATTACTTTGACGGCAATAACAAGTCATTAAAAACATACACAAAAATTATCCTTCCTTTTTGGGCAATTATTACATGGCCATTTTAGTGTATCATACCTTTGTAGAAGATACCTTTGGTCTAAGAAAAGTTTTTGACATTATAAACTTTAATAGTTCCCATCCGTAGTATACAACCTGTAGTAGTACATTAAAGTATAATTCACCTAAGGAAACAAACAAAAAAAAATCTCAAATTAGGAAAACTATAAAAAAGAAATATAGTAATATAAACCAATATAATCTACAGTATGATAATGGCTCAAAAACTAATGAGAGGACATAGTAAACACAGGTGAAGAGGTCAAAATGCTAAAATAAAGTTTACTTTTAATCACTAGAACTGTCAAATAATCCACACGTGGTGGTATAAACAGTCTTTCATATGAACTCAACAATGTATTAAAGAAAACAGAAAAAATGCATTTGACATTTTGTGCAGCTTTTGTGCTGAAAGTTAAAATTTCCCTCACTTCAAATCACAGTTCCAGGGTTTTTTCCTGCGAAATTTCAAAAAAACCCTCACCATATAACAAATTCAGATTTTCACTTACTTTGGAAAAAGACTATAAATCTAACTGTATATATTTTCTGTACGTGTTCTTCTTACTTGAACATACTAGAAAATTTGGGGACAATGTTTTCCGACTTTAATAATTATTCAATGTTTACATAAACTAGTGAATTCACCAGTTTGAAGTGAGCTTGAAGCGAAATTTTTTAAGGTCTGCAAATTTATAAATTGGAAGGTGTATTTGGACTTTAAGGTTTGGACGCACATATGGTATATAACGTGAAAAGATTCCATACACGAAAAAATAAATTGTACACACACACACACACACACACACACATTGTTCACGATTAAAGAGGTTTTTGCTTTGGAGATTCAAAGAGATACATGGGTGGGGAAAAAAACACACTTGTTGAATAAATACAGTTGTCAGGTCGAAATAAAAGACGCAGACTGTTTTTACGGTCAGGACTCCAGTCGCTCTTTAAAAACAAGGCTGACAATTACCTCCTTTAAAAAAGAAGATAACTGTCCCAGATGATGTCAGGTTCCTGAAATGAGATGTCAAAGGAAGAAAAGACCTTCAAGAATATTTCTAGTCTACCCACCACCCGCCCTCATACACTGGACTGGCGATACTAAGCCCAGACACTCGTCCAGCGTAAAGCTACTAATCGGCGGAGAGCGAAGAGGATCTCGCCATGTCCTCACGCCAGGCCAGAATTTTGCACCCCCACCCTCCAACCCCAAATGGAATGGGCAGGTCGGGAGGAGGAGCGAAGACAGCTCGGGGAGGCGTGAAGGCAGAGATGGGTTCGCGTCTCCAAAACATACATAGACCAAAGCCGCAACCGCGGCGGCCTTACTTTCCGGGAGCTGCATCCCCTCGTGGCCGGAGAGGAGTGGAGGAGCCAGACTCTGCTCCAGCGTAAAGGCAAGTACCTGGCCCTAGCCGGGCTCAGCGCCGAGCCTCTCGGAGGTCCCGCCTCCCAGGGACCTTCTAGACCGGTCGGCGCTTACGCGACACAGGCAGAAGGGCAGCCGCCAACGGCCCCGGTGGCTTAGGCTTCTACCGCACTGCCTGACCCAAAGCAAGGACCCGACCTGTGCCCCTGCCTTGGACTCTGCCCTGCAAGCGTGCTATAGAAGGCCAGGTAACCAATATTTAGTGGCTAGGCGGTGGAGACGGGCCGCGAGCGCCGCGCACGGCCTAGAAGCACCCGGGGCCACTGGCGCTTGCCGCAGCTCGCCGCTTCCGGCTCCTCCCTGTTGTGCGTAAAGCGCGTGGGCCTAGACGCCCGGAGCCAGCGCGGTGAGGACCATGTTGCTTCCGAACATCCTGCTCACCGGTCAGGCGCGCGGCGGGGCGGCGCTGGGTGGCGGGGCAGGCAAAGGGCGTCGAGTGCCGTGGGGCGTCGGACGTCCGAAGGGTGCCGTTCGGTGTTCTGTTTCGAGGCTAGCGGAGGGCCGCGCGGCGTGGCGGTTGTCAGGGCCTGGAAGAGACCGGTTCCTCCGACCGTTGTGGGAGGCGGGGTGGGGGGCGGGGAATGTTGATATTGTTGGCCCGAGGCTGCTCGGTGAGAGAGGGAGACTTCTTTAGGTCCTCTTTCTGGCAAACTGCCGAATCTTTCGGAATCTGGTTTTTGTTTGTAAAAGTCTGATGGTTGGTTTTTTTTGTTTTTTGTTTTTTTTCTTTTAAGTAGCAGGGTTTGTCTTTAGAGTTTTAGCGAGATAATGTAAGTCGCTCTCAGACCCTTAGTGGATCTTTTAATGCTGCTGGACGCCTTGTCCTTAGGCCTTCCTGGGGCGTATCTCTTTTTCTTTTGTATCTGCCAATTACGGTTGGACAAAAGGGTTCGAATATATATGGCGCAGGGTGATTAACTTGCTGTGTACTTTTGTTGAATTAGCATCAGAAGCTTTTTTATTGTAAAGTTCCCGGGGTGATAGCTGTCTTTCATACTGGTTAAATTTTTTCCCCATAAATAATTTAATTAAAAAAACTAAAATAAATGATGGTAATTTGAGATATTTAGTGTTATTCTGGGAGTATCTGTTAACGGTGACAGGCAGTCTGCGAATTGCTATTAATCCCCCAAGCCCCACTCCTGATAGATCAGATACTCTTGGTGAGATTCCCTTATGCAACAGACTGAGTAGTTTTGATTATAGTGTATATTCACAGGGAATTGCTAATTAGGATGTTTTTCGTTTCAGTTGTTAAAAACTTGAAGAAGGGTAGATAGGTGGCTAATGTCTAACAAGTATCTATGGCTTGTCTTACAGGTACACCAGGGGTTGGAAAAACCACGCTAGGCAAAGAACTTGCATCAAGATCAGGACTGAAATACATTAATGTGGGTGATTTAGCTCGAGAAGGTAAGGGATGCATTGGTGATGGTTTTAAAAAAAAGAGAGACTAGATAATAGAGTGTTAGTATTATACTTGTCAGAGGGTACAAAAAGCAGAGACAGACCATTAAGGAATTTATGCTCTATGGGGAACCTGTAGAAAGAGAAAGTAATATATGTGTAGTACTGTCTTCGGTTGTTTTGACCATTCTACCCCATCCTGCCCCACTCTGTTGGCCAGTAGTTCTTCTGAGTGGTAATAATTGGGAAGGCTACCATGAAGAGATGGGACATAGGGAGAATGTTTTTGAGATGGGCAAACACATAAAGGTTTGGATGGTCCTAAGCGTATCTGTTGAGATGGTGAGTATAGATCTCACTGGAAGGATATTATTTTGAGCTCTTAGGACATGACTGTTCTATAGTTTCTTCTTAGCTTTGTTTGATAGTTGCATGCCTGCACACAACTGCACATTATTCTAAAGTGATAAATGCTTTTATTTTACCTCGTTTTTCTCCCAAATTTTTATCACTCCCTTATTTGTCTTCATTTTTTTATATTCTGTAATTTGTATAGGATAGAAATTTAATAAACTTAAAGGGACCTTAATTAAAATTAAAAAGATTTAACACTTAAAATTTTAAATATATTTTTCAAAAATTTAACAGTATTTAAAATTTTTGAAGTTCCTGACAGTTGCTACTAAAGTAACTATTTCAGATTTGATCTAATGTCCGTATTTTTTTCAAATGATCTAAAGTCTGATCAACGGATATCATGGAGTCTGGCAAGATGGCTTCTCCCAAGAGCATGCCGAAAGATGCACAGATGATGGCACAAATCCTGAAGGATATGGGGATTACAGAATATGAGCCAAGAGTTATAAATCAGATGTTGGAGTTTGCCTTCCGATATGTGACCACAATTCTAGATGATGCAAAAATCTATTCCAGCCATGCTAAGAAAGCTACTGTTGATGCAGATGATGTGCGATTGGCCATCCAGTGTCGTGCTGATCAGTCTTTTACCTCTCCTCCCCCAAGAGATTTTTTATTAGATATTGCAAGGCAAAGAAATCAAACTCCTTTGCCATTAATCAAGCCATATTCAGGCCCCAGGTTGCCACCTGATAGATATTGCTTGACCGCTCCAAACTATAGACTTAAGTCTTTACAAAAAAAGGCATCTACCTCTGCGGGAAGAATAACAGTTCCACGGTTAAGTGTTGGTTCAGTTACTAGCAGACCAAGTACTCCCACTCTTGGCACACCAACCCCACAGACCATGTCTGTGTCAACTAAAGTAGGGACTCCAATGTCCCTCACAGGGCAAAGGTTTACAGTACAGATGCCCACTTCACAGTCCCCAACTGTAAAAGCATCAATTCCTGCAACATCCGCAGTTCAGAATGTTCTGATTAATCCATCATTAATTGGGTCCAAAAACATTCTTATTACCACTAACATGGTGTCATCACATAATACTGCCAATGAATCATCAAATGCAATGAAAAGAAAACGAGAAGATGATGATGATGACGATGATGATGACGATGATGACTATGATAACTTGTAATCCAGCCTTGATGCTTGTAACATGTATACTTGGTCTTGAATCCATTGTACTAGATTAAACATGCACGCTGGGTATTTTCAAGTTGTGTTGTAGAAAACTTAAATGCTATTTAATGAGTAAATATGGTTATCCTTTCTGATTGAGATGTTGGGTTTTCTTTAATAGGATTAGTAATGGTTATTCATCAGCCTTTAAGTGTAAAAAAATAAAACTGTTTTCATCAGTTTGTTGGTATTTTGGCAATTATGTTTTTAGAAGCAGTTTTCTCACGTGTCCCCAACAGGAATAACAGTGACAACAACTTGAAGTACTAGTTTGTTCATAAACACTAGAGTAGTACTTCTAGTGTCTTCAGATGTTTAGATCACAGCATGATCTCTAGTGTGTAAGTCACTCTTACGGCCCCATTTTCTAAGATTGCTTAAGTGTAACCATGTCTCTTTTTTGTAGAGTCCACTTCATCTGTTTGGATTTCTCTTCTTCAATTACTCAACTTCTTCCTGGGTCCTTTTTTGCTCTCTTTGGTTTTATCATATTTTTGATACTGTAAGTCAGTATCATGATCATATTTTTAATCCAGGTTTGGTATTTAAGTATAGTGAATAAAACTTAGGTACTGTTTTACATGACCAGTCTCCCATTTTACACCTACATAAAAAAATCTGTTTTTTTTTCCTTTGCCTGTTGAACTTTACAGTCTCTGACAAGTGATTTTAGAGTCACATTCAGTTGTCAATTTCAGTCTTCCAGTTTATCTTACCGAATTTAACACTTTTTTTTTTAAAAAAGACTTCATTTATTTATTTGACAGATCACAAGTAGGCAGAGAGGCAGGCAGAGAAAACAGGAGGAAGCAGGCTCCCTGCTGAGCAGAGAGCCCGCTGTGGGCTCCATCCCAGGACCCTGAGATCATGACCTGAGCCGAAGGCAGAGACTTTAATCCACTGAGCCACCCAGGCACCCCTGAATTTAACACTTCTAAACTTAAAGAAGTTGTATATAATCGATTGTGTAGTACTGAGAGAAACAGTAACACTAGACATTTGGTTCCTTTCATACTTGTATTCAACACTATTTTAGCCACTACAACACATCTAAGTGTGTATAGTCCCAAACATCCTCTCTATATATTTTTTAAAGATTTTATTTATCCATTTGAGAGAATGTGCATGCACAGAGCGGGGGTGGTGGGGAGGGCTGGAGAGGGAAAAGCAGGCTTCCCACTGAACAGGGATCTGGATGGGGGTGGGGGGGGTTGTTCCTGGGATCCTGGGCTTGAGACTTGAGCCAAAGGCAGATGCTTAACCAACTGAGTCACTCAGGCACCCCTAGGTGATGGTCTTCATAAGGTTTTTCATAATGTACCAGATTGGTTTTTTCCCCCGATGCCATTTGAATATATCTGGAAATCTTAACTAGAATATATTTCAAGATAAAATCTTAACTAGAAAATATACTGAGACACCTGTCCTCATTTTTCTCAAATAGTTATATATTTTAAGGGATACCATGTAACCATCTATAAAGCAGTGGCTCTCAAATAAGTGTGATTTTGCCCTTCGGGGACATTTGGCGATTTCTGGAGACTTGATAGTCAAGACTGGGGTGGAGGCCAGGGATTCTGTTGAACATCCCACAATTCACAGAATAGCCCCCCACTCCTATAAAAGAATTATTAAGCTCAAAATGTCAGTAGTATTTGAGATTGAGAAACCCTGGTATAAAGAAACAAGACCAAAAAAAAAAAAAAAAAGCCACCCTGATTTTATTTTATTTATTTATTTTTAAAGATTTTATTTATTTATTTGACAGAGATCACAAGTAGGCAGAGAGAGAGAGGGGTGGGGGAAGCAGGCTCCCCTCTGAGCAGAGAGCCTGATGCGGGGCTCGATCCCAGGACTATGGGATCATGACCTGAGCCGAAGGCAGAGGCTTAACCCACTGAGCCACCCAGGCACCCCGATTTTAAATGAATTTGTCTAAATGGAGTTGACAGCCATTGTAGAAATCCTGTTGAAACTAAGAATTCTTAGGTCATGTGGAACCAAGGCAGGAAAAATTAGGTGGGGAATTTTTTTTTTTTTAAGATTTTATTTATTTATTAGAGCAAGTAAGAGAGAGCATGAGAGGGTAGAAGGTCAGAGGGAGAAGCAGACACCCTGCGGAGCTGGGAGCCCAATGCGGGACTCTATCCCAGAACTCCGGGATCATGACCTGAGCTGAAGGCAGTCACTTAACCGACTGAGCCACCCAGGCACCCTAGGTGGGGAATTAAGTTTTTGTGTTTTTTTTTTTTTAAATAAAGGTTTTTATTTATTTATTTGACAGAAGTAGGCAGAGAGGCAGGCAGAGAGAGAGAGAGGAGGAAGCAGGCTCCCCACTGAGCAGAGAGCCCAATGCGGGGCTCGATCCCAGGACCCTGGAATCAGGGAATTAAGTTTAATAAAATTATTGGGAGTCCTAACTATGGTGTGGCTAAGAATGCTTTTCTTACCCTTGTTATTTCCAGCCTCAGATTCTTCCTCACTTGATATCCTTTCCCATATGCAATCATTTAGTTGCACTTACCAGCACCCTTAATTTTCCTGCCACAAGTGTATCCGTCTTAAGCCTCTGTTTATAAACCCCAGGATTTCCCATAGGTCTAGACAAAGTATATTAACATTGGATCCACTGGAAACTTGTAAAGCATAGCAGAGCCCTCAACACTTAAAATCTTGATCTTTTTCTAACCCAGGAGTTGGCAGGCTGCTGCTATTTTTTATAGGAACCACACTGCCTGAACACTAGCCCACAAAGCATGAAGTATTTACTGTCTGGCCTTTTACAGAAAAAGTTTTGCTATCCCAGCTCTAACCCCTTTATCCCATTTTCCTCCCCTCCACTGGAAGGCTTTGAAATTAACCTATTTGTCCCCTCCGGCACTGCTATCTCCCAGTCTGCATGTGATCTCCCTCCCACCATATACTTCCTTTTTTAAGATTTTATTTATTTATTTATTTATTTAAGAGAGAGAGAGAGAGAGAGAGAGAGAGAGCGCATGGGGAGGGGCAGAAGGAGAAGCAGACTCCACACCGAGCAGGGAACTGATGTGGGAGCTCAATTCTAGGATCACAGCTGGAGCCAGGGCAGACTCTTAAGTGACTGAGCTACCTAGGTGCCCCCTACCATATACTTCTTTCCCAATAATTTCACTGCAGCTATATTGTTACTTTACCCCTGACTTTAGTAATCTCATCCCCTCTGAACTAGTCACTCCCTTTAAAAGAGCCTAATTTCTAGATACCCACTAAAGGTAGCCACCTTGGTAGTTCCCAGACCTCTCCAAACTAATAAGACTTAAAAAGCACATGCTCTGAAGTCCTACCTGACTACTTGCCCACTCTTGATTCCTGCTCCCCACATAGGGACACATTCAAACACTACACAAATGCATTTGCCCTGTAAATCTTGATGGTTTGCCTAAAAAATTGATATGGTACTCATCCCATTTTCAAGCCCGTTTCCAGTGAATCTCTTACTCTTTGTATCTTTTCCTTCCCTCTTTGTTATGTCCTTTAAAAAAAGAGGGAGACGGAATAAACAAGACTTGACCTTTTTCTGTTAAAGTCCATCCTCCCTAATGATGAACTGGTCATAGTTTACCTTCAGCCTTCCCTGCAGCCACTTCCCTAGGTCCCCTTAAGTCTACACTCTGCGCACTTACTGTTCCTCAGACCCTGGGAATTGACCTTCATGTCTTTATACGTGCTATTCCCTTCACCTATAAGTGCTCTTCCTTACCTGCCCTATAAACAACTCTTTAAAAGGCCCAACTCAAATGTCACATTTTGGTGCTCTCTAACTTTTTAAAGTAGATTTCATTGTGCTTTTCTCTACATAAAAGGTCAGGTATCAAAATACTCAATCCTTCTAAACCAATTAACTTCTTGGTACTAGTTGCATCACAGACATAAGCTTCTTGTTGGATTGAAGTAAATGTGGTAAATACGTTTCCAGAGTAAGAAATCTGAGGGTTACCTGGCTAGCTCCATGGACAGAGCATGCAACTCTAGATCTCAGGGTTGTGAGTTCAGGTCCCATGTTGGGCATGGAGTCTACTTAAAAATTAGGGGCACCTCGGTGGCCCAGTCAGTTAAGCATCTGCCTTCGGTTTGGGTCATGATTCCAGGGTCCTCGGATTTAACCCCACGTCAGGCTCCCTGCTCAGCGGGGAGTCTGCTTCCCCTTCTGCACCTCCCCCATCCCTGCTCGTGGGCTCTCATTCGAGGTCTCTCTCAAATCTTTTTAAAAACTGTATAAAGTAAGAAATCTGAAAATGTTTTAAGTACTGGCAACAGCATCAAAATAGATAGCATTCCAATATTAAATAACAGCTTTCATGTGAGTGTATTAATTCTGGGATGGCAGTTAAAATGTAATGATTTTATAGTTTAACTACAGCTGGAAAGATCTTTTGAGGTAAGGACTTACCATTTAACTGGCCCCACAATCAATTTTTTTTCTCCAACTAACCTATCTTTAAATAAATCATAAAACTTTGTTAAGAAAATTAATTTTCTAAGCTTTTGGTAGTTTAATCAATTCAAGCCTTTTCATCTCTTCTAGATTAGGATCCTATACATATACAACTCTAAATTTGACTTCCAACTGAAACTTTCTAAAGTAGCATACGTTAAAGAAAAAAAATTACAAGTAGCATAGGTTTTTCCCTTTTGGGGGGAAATCTGAAATGAAGTTTAGAATCCATTTCTTCATTCCTTATGGTACAGGTTATAACCATCAGTCATCTAAAATTCTGCAGTAGCCTTGATTTGGTGTACCTGCTTCTGGATTTGTTTCCTTTCAACTCATTCTCTACAGAGAAACCAAAATTATTTTTAAATATTTGTAATTGATCATGTCATTTCATGATTAAAATGCTTTAATGATTTTACTTTGCTTTGGGATAAAGTCTAACTCTGCAACTGTTAAGGACCTTTTTGATCTCGCCTCAATTTACCTGACCCTTTATCATCTATTTTCCAACTAGTCTAAGAGACTTTCCCTCCCCTGAGTCTTCCCCTCCTAATTCTCTCTGGCTTTGAATACCTTCTCTGTTGAAAATAGTCTTCCCTGGATGGCTCAGTGGGTTAAGCCTTTGCCTTCAGCTCAGGTCATGATCTCAGGGTCTTGGCATCGAGCCCCAAATCAGGCTCTCTGCTCAGCAGGGAGCCTTCTTCCCTC